TCCAATCCATCCTGTTTTAGACCAGCTGCTGAGTCCCTGTTTCTAGATTTTCCAGAAAATGGAAGACAGCAAATAAAAGAAAAACAGTAGGCTACATAGTTCACATGTCTACAATAGTTTAATAAACCCAAACAGCACATAAAGCTGCATTTTACTCATTTATTGTTGAGTAAACAATACATTTATAGGGCCCATAAGGTCTCACAACAGTATGAATACGCTCATGTAGTTTTAAAGATACAAGATGTGAAAAACTCTTTCCACAAACAGAACAAAAGTGAGGCTTCACAGCAGTATGAACTTTAAGGTGTTTTGTTAAGCTTGATTCAAAAACAATGTGCCCGAACTAAAGCTGTTCAGACCAATCAAATTGTCTGGGCGGGCTTTATACGATGATGGACAGATGATCAACAGTAACATAATCATCCACATTATTAAAGAGTGCTTGGGTTGAAGTAGTTTACAACAAAGAATTGTGTGACAAGAATGATGTGTAGATTTGGCCATCGCGTCTGTTATAGAATATATGTACAGTGCATCATACATCTATACATCATTTTAATAGAGAAACAGAGAACCGCGATCAAGGCATTTGTCGATCGGAAAGATGTTTTTGCCGTCCTTCCTAAGGGATTCAGTCTATCCAATTGAGTGCAGATGCATTTTTACGCCCCATAATCACAGCCCAATGGAGCAGCATCATTCTCACATGCAGACTAGAATCAGAGTATTACGATGTCAGACTATTAGGTGACAGAATGGAGAGAAAAAAATTGAGGGCCTGGCCAACGAACAAACAGTGTATGAAAATGATTAAGGCAACATTACAAGTCAGAAGTCAGATTGGATCAGAACATTCAGAATATTATCCATCAGGTTGAAAGTCGGAGTTATCAAGCTGGTATGGAGATAAGTTTGTTGAGGATCAGTGCCGATGGCAGGGAAGGGAATGGTTGACACTTCAGGACTGCGTTGTCATCGTGTCTAGTTGTGGCACAGTTCCTGAATCAGATCTGGATATGGCCTGGATCCAGCAGATCCTGCTGCCTTCTACTGTTGTCAATGTTGCTGTATCTTGTTTACAACTACATACATGTATGTTGGGAAAAAAACTCTTGCTTGCATTGCATTATTACCTCCAATGTAGGGCTATTTGGTTCACTGTTTACATGTATTTTAATGGGCGACCCCTCTCTGAGTCTGTGCCCCCATAAATGCCTCACATGTACAATGAAAATATTGAAACCAGAAAGAAACAAAACACATCCCTTCATAAATCGTAGTGTTTCATGGGAACAAACAAGTTTTCTGAACTATTATTCTAAATCTGGATGTGGATCTTAGTACCATTCTGCATTCTAGTACCACACTCTTCGTGGCAACGTCGAGGCCAAGCTCAATCTCATCGGAGACATCTTGTATGAGGAGTGTAGAGGCAGGTTCGGAACAATCTCTGGGAAATGCGCAGGTCCAAGGCTGAAAGGAAGGAGGGACAACAGATTTAGCAGTTGGTGAAGAGGTGGCGCCAGCTGTGAAAGCAGTGGAGGAAGCTGAGAAAGAGGAGAAGGAAGGTCTGAAGTCACTGTGGAAGACGTGAAGTAGAGCCTGGCTGGCTTGCGAGGGCTGAGCGCATTCGTAAGCACAGGAACGAAAGGAGAAAGAGAGGGAGTGATTTCTTCAAGAATCCCTTCAAACATGCAAGGCAGCTGCTGGAGGATAGGAGGAGTGGGAAGTTGGAGACAACAAAGGAGGAGCTGGAAAGGCATTTCAGTCAGCAGTTTAGTGATGCTGATCGACTGACTCCTCTGGGTTCCCCGGGGTATGTTCCTCGCCCAGCCCCCCCAGCTGTGCCCTTTAAATACTGCACCTCCGAAACTCAGTGAGATCGCAGATATCGTTCGGAAGGCTAGAGCCGCCTCAGCACCAGGCCCCAATGGAATACCTTACAAACTGTACAAGCATTGTCCCGGTGTGCAGAGGATCCTGTGGAAACTCTTAGGAGCAGCATGGAAAAAAGAAGTTGTCCCCGTAGAGTGGCGGAGAGCCCTGTCTGTCCTCATTCCCAAGGAGCAAGACTCAAAGGATATCGCCCAGTTTAAGAACATAGCCCTTCTAAATGTAGATGGAAAGATATTCTTTCCCATCATGGCCAAGAGGATGACCTCGTTTCTTACGCAAAACGGATTTATAGATACTAGCTGTCAGAAAGCGGGCATACCAGGCTTTCCAGGGTGTGTTGAACATTCCTGAACATTGAACATTCTTCGGTGATATGGGAACAGATTCAGAGGGCGAAGAGGGAGAAGGGCGATCTGCATGTCGTCTAGTTAGATCTTGCCAACACCTACGGGTCTGTCCCCCACCAACCTTTTACATACACCCTGGACTTCTTCTATGAGAGTCCACTGACCATCTGGTGAGACCTGCAAATGCCCAGGTTCTAACTGGGAGGAAATGGAGGGCCAAGGAGGAAGTTGACCTGGCAATAAGTAGGCTGCAACACAGGGAGGTGCTTGGCAGAGTACAGGACGGCTGGGCAGGCGTCGGGTGGGGACAGGCCCCCCTCTTCTGGTCGAATGCATCCAAAGAAGAGAGGAAGGCCATGGTGGCAGCAGAGGTGATGAGAGCTGAACGAGAGAGGCTTACCATCAAAGCAGTGTCCCAGGGCCAACAGGGAGGCTGGCTGTCGTGGGAAGGCGTTCTAGACAGGCAGCTGGCTAGGTCTGATGTATGGAAGATTCCTCAGGCCAGGCTAAGTTTTCTTGTCAGAGCAGCATATGACACCTTACCTTGCCCCCGCAACCTCCACCGATGGTTCGGCAACAAGGAATCTTGCCTCATGTGCAACACTGCTAATGCGAGCTTTCAACACATCATGTCTGGCTGCAAAACAGCGTTGGCACAAGGGCAGTACAGGTGGAGGTAGGGCTGGGCGATATGGCCAAAAAATCATATCTCGATATTTTTTGGTCAAATGGCGATATACGATATATATCTCGGTACTTTCTACGTTTTCTATTTAGATAAAGAAAATCTTTATATTTAAAAAATATATATATATATATATATACATATATATATATATACATATATATATATATATATATATTCACATTCGGCCCAATGATATCCTACAAACAATGTTGATATTGAAGGATATGGAAACAAATATAATATAGGCTATGCAATATATTATGTGCAAAAAGCTTTTGTTTTTATATTGACTAAAGGCTAAACTAAAAATGAAAATAAAAACAAAAGCACAAACTATTATATTAGCCTGCATTTGATTACCCCATTATAATTACTTTCACTTTCATTAAAAATATATACTTTTAGATTTAAAATTCCACATATGGCACATTTATTTTCTCCAACAACAAATATTTTAGCAATATGTTTATTTTAGTCAGAATTATTGCGTACTACGTAGTACTATTCACGCGCATGCGCGCGCCGGCGCTCGTTCAAGGAAGCATGAATTTTAGCGGAGATTCACTTGCAGAAACTCGTCCTCTTCTGACATGGACATATTTGTTGTGAAATGGACATATTTGCTTTACTTTCTAACATTTACAGATGGAGAATATACCTGTGAAATGTAAGTTGAGCACTGAGGAAAGCACCACATCTCAAACGCATTAAACAGCGCAAGTATCTTGTCAGTCAGCAACAGTGTCTGTCAGAGCATTTGACAGGGCGGCAAGCTGCCTTAAACTTGTAAACTATATCAAAGTGATTTTGACGCAATTAATATAAGCTTGTGTCATGTTTAGGACAAATTGTACTACGTAGCCTAGCTACTTTCACTGCAGCAGCTCACACTGCAACCTCCGCTATTTTTCAGATGTGCTCATATCAAACTACTGTATCGATATAAACGGTATTGCCTTATTCCATATCGTTTCAAAAAATATAACGATACATCGTACAAACTCGATATATCGCCCAGCCCTAGGTGGAGGCACGACCTGGTGCTGAATAAGCTCGCTGAGGTAGTGGAAACATGTAGGCAGGAAGCGAATAGAAGGCTCCCGGCCCTAACCGCACATTCCATCCAGTTCGCGAGGGCTGGGGAGAGGGGTAACACCCACCACCGGAAGGACACCGGAAGACTCCTTACATGGTGCTGTGGTCTGCTGCTTGCAAGGTGGTGCTGATGGTGGAGCTCACAGTCCCATGGGAAGGAGGACTTGAAGCTGCCCATGAGCGGAAGCGGGCCAAATATTCTGATCTGGCTGCAGAGTGCAGGGAGGCTGGTTGGAGGGCAGTCACATACCCTGTGGAGGTGGGGTGCAGGGGGTTCGTGGGCTCCTCAACCTCTCGTCTGCTCCGCGACATGGGTGCAACAGGCATAAGGCACCGAAAAGCCATGAAAGAGCTGGCAGAAGAGGCTGAAAGAGGCAGTTACTGGCTGTGGCTGAGAAGGAAGGCAAAGAATTGGGGTCCAGTCTCCATCTAGGGCATCAGCAGGGGGTGGCAGGGAGAAATCCCTGCCATCGCTCCGCCACCATGAGATGTACTGGGGTTAAAGGAGCGAAACATCCGTGACTGGTGGTCCCCAGCTGATGACCCATTAATGCCCTTTGTAGTGTTCCCCAACATGTACACCTTCAGTACACCTTAATCTCTTAGGCACCGGTGGAGGTGTGACAGGCAGAAATGCCCAGCAGGTTTCACCATCTACCTGTATGTTAAACTTGTTAAATCTGTATGAGATGACCATGCTCTGACTGACACGAGTATTTTCACATTGTTGCTTTACTGTTCAGTTCATCTTGTATACAGTAACACTCAAGTGTTTACTGCGCATTTGCAACACAACATAGGATCAATACGGGTGTCCGAAGAACAAAACATGCACTTACTATGTAATAAAAAAACATTTTAACCTTCCTCCTACTAATTTTAGATTAATTTACTGTATTTAAGGTAATTCCATTTTTTGCTTAATCTGAGTATCAAATCATTTACAAGTCATGGATCTGAACTTTGATCACTTAGTTAGACACATTCGGACAATTCTTTTTCTTATGTCGCTGTAGATTAGACAATATGGTGAAACTCTTCCCACATGAAGAGCACTGGTGCAGCTTCTCTCCAGTATGAACCGTCTCATGAACTTTGAGGTTTCCTGACCGAGAGAAACTCTTTTCACAATGTGAACACTTGTATGGTTTCTCTCCAGTATGAATTCTCTGGTGTCTTTTTAAGTGGCTGGATGAAGTGAAGGTCTTTCCACAGTCAAAGCACACATACGGTCTCACACCAGTATGAATACGCTCATGCTCTTTTAAATGTTCCATTCGTGAAAAACTCTTTCCACAAAATGAACAAAAGTGAGGCTTCCCAGCAAAATGAACATTAAGGTGTTTTTTTAAGCCTGATTCCACAACAAATGTTTTATCACACTGATCACAGCTGAATGATCTCACTCCAGAGTGACGGAGCAGATGATCTTTGAGATGACTTTTTTGAGTGAAACTCTTTCCACAGTGAGAGCATGTGAACAGCTTTTTTCCAGTGTGAATAATCGTGTGTCTGTTCAGCTTTGATTCACATCCTTCGACTCCAGATTTTCCAGCTTGTTTCTGTGTGAAATTCTCTTCAGTCTTTGAAACGACTGCATTTCCATCTTCGTTTGTGAAATAATGAGGTGTTTGAAACTGATGCTGTTTGTCTTCATTCAGATCCATCAGGTCTAAAATAAACAAATTTCATTCCCATTATTTAATAAAAGGATAAATGAGAAACAAAAATAAGCATGGTTCAAAATCTCAATTTTCTCCAAGTATCTAGATGCTATTGTTATGTGTGGGTTTTCATCTTAAAGCTACAATGTGTGATTTTTACCCCCATCTAGCAGTGTAAAGGTTTATGACCATCCAGTGAGTATTAGTTTCTGTTCCTCTCAATTCTGATTTCGTTTTAACTCCTACAGTGGCCAATGTACTCCAAGATTAACATGGCTTTCAGTTCCATAGATATCTATATAAAGGCTAGGAGCCCTATTTTAACGATCTGAAACGCAAGTGTCAAAGCGCAAAGCGCAAGTAACTTTGTGGGCGGATCCTGGCGCTGTTGCTATTTTCCCGGCGGGATAAATGCCTCTGGCGCAAATCTAAAAGGGGTGGGTCTGGAGTAAACCAATAAGAGCGTCATATCACATTCCCTTTAAGAGCGTGATAACGGGGTGCGCTTGTTCCATGGCGCAATTCTATTTTAACGGCTTATTTACCAGACGTGCTTCAGCATCGGTTCACAGACGAGGAGATTGATGTTCTAGTCAGGGCCGTAAAAGAAAGAGAAGGGACATTGGGGATGGGACAAACCCACCCAAATTAGCTTCGGTTAAACATGCATATAATAACTTGGGTAAATGTGTAAGTTTTATGCCTATTTTTCCCATCATCATGGACACAACAATGATTTCCCTCATGTTTATATATTTTTTCTTATAATAATGTATCATTTGCAAAAAGTAAAATGCATCTGTGTAGATGAGAGAATCATCTACAGTGTTTGCGCGTTGTTCACTCTCTGTATTATGGCCAAGCAGGCGTGCTTAAAATAGCATCTGAATGTACGCGCAACGCACCACTGACTTTAGACTAGGTTTTTTCTGGTCATGCAATTGTTTTCTGGAACTGCAAAATAGCACTAGGGATTGTTTGCGCCGACAAACGCCTCCTTTTTGTGCCAACCCACCCAGGGAGCGCGATGTGCGTCTGTGGAGGAAAAAAAACCCTGCTGTAGTTTCGAACTTCCGCTTTTGTCAGAAGTCGGCGTATCAGTTTCCGGTCTACGACTGGTCAGCCGCATCCACTAATAAACAAACAAGATGAGTGCTGCTGTTGTACGGAAAAAAGAGTTCTTAAACACATCTAAGTTTCTAAGAACTGTAGTGGATCTAACGTCCGTTTCACACCCGTTTGCAGTGTGTGTTGCGGTGCAGGTGCTGTTAGTGCGTTCACATAATATGATGCATTTGCAGTGAATAACTGATCCGCGACTGTACAACAAACACATACTTAATATTTTTATTTAAAGTCCAGAAGTTATGCTGCAACTTATTTTTAAAAACAAAAAGTTGTGTCAGCATTGCGATTCTTTGTATGCACGTTTAAACACAATCTAAACAATGTAAGTTGGGCTATTACTCCATGCATTACAAGTTGCTCAAGCAAGTGGTCAAATATTTCCTATATTAAAATCGCAAATAATTTAAATTAAAACTTGAAATTGACAAAAGCAGCCGACTTGCCTTTTCTTTTGCATCTTAATTTTAAAACAATAGATCTTGCATGTCACAAAACTTATTTTTCCACCTCCACGATCGAGACGAGTTCATTCTGTCGCCTGGTTGAAGTAAATTGTAGTTTTCTTTGATTAAATGTGCATTTATGGTGAGATTACTACATTTTATTTAATTAAACGCATTTATGGTGAAATTACTACATTTTCAGGTCAATCTTTATAATTTTGACCACCAGCGTTTGCAGCACAGCAGAAATAGATCCGTTGTGGAAACGATCGCTGTGCTGCTGTTATATGTACCAGTGATGCGCGGGTCAATGTATAAACAAACCGCAACCGACCGACGTTTTCAACTACCCGCCCGCAACTCGGACCGCAAAAAAAAGTAAAAAAATATTGTACCCGACCCGCTTCCTGACCGCATTTTTTAAAAGTAGTAAATGCTCATCGGAGCGTTATTGGGCCATAGACGTGTAACAACACAGCATCGCAAGAAGACGTAGGCCTACACATAACAAAGGCAAAGCCAGCACTTTGGTCATCATATTTCATTATTTCAGCAAATGTCTCCCACACTTTTACTCTTTCTATTTGTGTATTTGCCGAGCTTCCACTCCCCAGTCTTCACCTTTTCTCTTGCCGCCTCCATCTCTGCAGACTGTAATGATCAGACATGGCCGGTTCGTGAACGAATCGTTCTTTTGAACCGGTTCTTTTTAGTGAACCGGTCGAACCAGTACACTAAATCGAACTGAATCGTTCGAAACAGTTCGCATCTTGCGTCAGTGCTGATCCACAAGTTAGTTACTTACTTTCAGACATGCCTGACAGTCGCCTCCGAATCGAAATAAATCAATATCCTGAATTCTATTTTACTCCAGTAACTCCAACAGTTCACTGAACCGAGACATGTTGGTGCCACTGTTGAGAGAAGTGATGAGCACGAGCAGCTGATACTGCGTACCGAACGCACAGGGACAGCGGTTCTCGAATCACTAGTATAGAACCGAGAACTGTTTAGACTGAGCTTGTGTGTTATCTTCGTGCCAGTTATTCAGCCAATAATGTGTAGGGCTGTATATTTCATCAAAAATTGTGTCTAGTACTAATACAAATGTTTAATTGGCATCTTTTTTCAAACGACCTGACCGACCGCGACCCGAATATCATTAAAAACATTTTTGGATGACCCGTAACTGCGGATCAACCCGCGCATCACTGATATGTACCACATCAGTGAAAAGTGAAAGTTTACATGGTGCGTTAGGAGACTGCTGTGCGGCACTTTGCTCGGCTTCAAGTCGCTAACAGCCATTTGAGCTTCTACTGCTTCCTGATAAACACCAACCTTCGTGCGCAGTGGCTGCACAAAATAGACATTTTGATAGACGGGCAAAAAAATAATAAAAATATTAAGTATGTGTTTGTTGTACAGCCGCGGATCAGTTATTCACTGGAAACGCATCATATTATGTGAACGCACTAACAGCACGCTCCTGCACCGCAACACACACTGCAAAAGGGTGTGAAACGGACGTTAGATCCACCTACAGTTCTAAAAAACTTAGATGTGTTTAAGAACTCTTTTTTTCGTACAACAGCAGCACTCATCTTGTTTGTTTATTAGTGGATGCGGATGACCAGTCGTAGACCGGAAACTGATACGCCGACTTCTGACAAAAGCGGACGTTCGAAACTACGGTTGTGCACATAGCCCATAGGAATGATAAATGCGTCAGTGTATAAAGTCATTTGCGCCGGGTGCAAGATAGAGCCCAATATATCTCGTCCACGCTGCTGGCCAATGGAGGTCGATGCCTGCACCTGGCGGCCATCTTGCCACAGGCAGCTCGATTGCTCGTAACATTGTGTTAATGGTACATGTACTATTTAAATAACCATAACTTGCTCGATTTTCTACCGATTTTCAAACGGTTTGGTTTGTTATAAACGTCAGAGATGTAGTTATGACACAGCATACTTATGAATAATAAGTGTATAAATAAATAATCGTCCAGATAATTATTGCCACGTTAATAACGTTTGTAAGAAACCAAACCGTTAGTAAATCCGTCAAGATTTCAACAAGATAAGAGTATTTGTGTTCGTGCTGACCACTTATCTTACATCAGCTTGCCTGTGACAAGATGGCCGCCGGTGATGACGCTAGAAACTCCGCCTTAAGACATCTAGCCTTCAAATAGATATCTATGTCCAGTTCGACCTCGTCCATGAGTGTTAACTCAAACGTAAACGCGAAAGGCGAAGCTTGAATTGACGGGTCTGTCCCTCTTTGGCTAATGTACTTTCAAGATGGAGGGGCAACATGGCGACCGATATTAGAACCCCTTACCCGTATGCATTTTCAATGGCATATTATACACTCACGAGAATATTACTTGAACGAAGTAAATATACATTAATGAGCACATATATTTTTGAAAGAACTAAGTGTTTTTAGCTAAAAATAAACTAAAAGAGTTACACAGTGTAGCTTTAATGTTTCTCATCAGTGATTAAAGAGAATGAAGGAAAACACCAACCTATTTGTTCCTCTGTATCTTCATCTTTTATTCTGCAGGGTTCTTCCTTAATCTCCATCTTTACATTAGTATGTCTGTAGTTTCTCCTGGAGTAATTCCCCCTGCTTGCTTCTTCTTCTCCTGTGGGAAGATGGGAATATTCCCCAGCATTTAAACTCATTCATGAACGGCTGTGGGAGCTTCACTGACTGAAGGAGTGAATTGTGGTCGTTATTGCTCATTTAGCAGATGATCATCACACTTACAATCAATCGAGATTATTCAGGTGCAAATGTTTTGCTCAAATAGTCGTTTAGAAACAGTTCCATGATTACTAAATTTAATCCTTTGGGCTCAATATCAAGCCTCATTTTGACTTTGTTCCTCATGTTCCATGCATTGAATTTTTCATTTCATCTTTTTATTGTGTCTTGTTTTGTTTTGCCCCCTTTCTGTAAATATTGTATATACATAATTTTTCCTTTACTGAAGCGGTATCCCTTCTAACATCGTTTAAATAACATGGCCGAAAGGTTGCTTTAACCACGTTTGTGTGGTGAAGGTCGTTGCAGCGTCACAATGTTGATATTAAACTACTGTTCAGTGCCATTGCTTAAGTTTGTGCCTATCTTGTCAACCACTGGACGACATATGTACGTATTCTTCATCGAGCAAGGATATGTGAGTAGTAGCCTGTTGTGTTTAATCTATGCTTTTTATGTTTTATTTATTATGCTTAAAAGAAATTCTAAATTCGTTTATTTTTCACAACTGTATACATTTTGGAAGTGCAATTTGATTACCATATGCAGTTTTAATAAAGTTGAATTAACATAATCTTCTGTCATTTTTACTCTTCAAAGTGTACGCTTACAGATGTTGATTATAGGCTAATATACTGATAACCCCATTACACAATAATAAGGATAAACATTTTTAAAAAGTATATAATTATCAAACATCTGACTAAAAAAATAACCTTAAAAGATAAAATGTTTTGAAAATGCTTCATTTTTGTTTTTGGTTGAACCTGAAAGAAAAAAGAGAAAGAAAGTAACTGTAACACTATGTAGTTTTTCATCCTTCATAATATATTTCCAGGGGCCTATTTCATGAAGCCGGTTTAGGTGGCTATAGCCAGCTATGTTTCATTTTAGTTTGCGCCAACCCTGGGTTTTAGGCACCATGAAAGTGGTTTGGCTTTTAGCAGTGTTCATCGCCATAGTAACTTAAGCTCCACAGCTAACCTGGTCCGTGTCAGGTTATGTTCCAGGTAAGAGGTTACAAACAGAACTTGGACCAATCAGCTGTGAGCACAGTGACACATATCTGGCGCAATAAAGTCACTCCACCTGTTTCAACTCCAAATTAAAGGTCACTACGTAGCAAATTATTTTTAAAGACAAAATCATCTGGCTTTTAGTAATGCTTATTTAGAATAATACATTTGTATGATTTAGAAATTATTTATGTAATTATTATACCCAAACGATCTAACGTGCAATTTCAGTTCATCAATTATTAGTATGCAGATTTTAAAAGAATAAGTATATAAAGCTAATTAAAATACGCTTTAGAATCAATAAAATGACTACATGTGAGCTTAAATGCTCAATTCTCTCTATTCCTTTATCAACTGTATAAACTAACTTCACAACTTTTACTTGCACTAATATAGCAAGACCTTTTCTTTTAGTTGTCCTCTTTCATAGACAGCTAATTTCTTCTTGCTGTGTAAATTTGTTTAAATTCTTAATATTTTAATCATTTTATTTAATGAGTGAATTGTGCTGCTTCTCTCGCGAGAAATTAATTTTAATGAGTTTCACTATTTCTCAGCATTTGATTGGCTGTTTGTGACTGATGTCACACCTAAACTCCTAAACTCTAGATCAAAGCCTGAGTTGACAGAGAAAGTTGATTATCAGAAGCATGGTACCAACAAAGCCTGGTTGGATTGGTTTGGTTTTGTCAACTCAAAACTAATCCTGCAACCCAGAGTTTATTCAACTACCATCATGGTATAGGCCCCAGGACCCTTGTGATGGTACATCGACTTACAATAGGTTAAATGAGACGTCTGCCATAGCCTGACGTGGTCTGTGTCGCTTTTACTTGCACTATGTAACTTCAGGTTTTGGGTAGTAACCGAAGCACATAAAGAACTACAAAATTCGACTGCTTTACGGCATACGTCACTTCCCCCACCACTTCCTCAAATTGTCTGTGGCCATTGTTGATTCCAAAGCCGGTGCTGGATAAACGGCGAGCGTGCATGTCTGACAGTTGATTATTTTACTAAATTATTTACTACAGCGGTAATGGACAATTCCGCATCGCACCTGTAGGGCGACCGCAGAGGAAAAGTTACATTGTGTTGTTTTAAACATTTTATTTGTTACTTTTAAATCCTAAAATCTCTTTATATCTCTCACAATTTTATTAAATGTACTTGTACCATCAGATGAATGTTGAGAGAGTTTTTGCGAGTGAAACTCTTTCCACACTGAGAGCATGTGAATGGTTTTTCTCCAGTGTGAATCACCATGCGATTATTTAGGTGTCCTTTGCGAATGAATCCCTTTCCACACTGAGTGCATGTAAAAGGCTTTTCTCCAATGTGAATCATCATGTGTTTGTTCAGGGTTGATTTACATACAAAACTCTTTCCACACTCAGAACAGGTTAAAGATCCTTTGATTTTCCAGCTTGTTTCTGTGTGAAATTCTTTTCAGTCTTTGAAACTATTGCATAAAATAAACAAATTGAATTCCCATAATTTAATAAAAGGATAGCCGAGACACAAAAAACAACATTGTTCAAAATCTCAATTTTCTACTAGTCTAGTATCAAGTTTTAGATGTTATTTTTATGTATTTTTTCATCTAAATGTTCCTCAGCAGTGATTAAAGAGAATGAAGGAAAACACCAACCTATTTGTTCCTCTGTATCTTCATCTTTTATTCTGCAGGGTTCTTCCTTAATCTCCATCTTTACAATAGTATGTCCGTAGTTTCTCCTGGAGTAATTCCTCCTGCTTGCTTCTTCTCCTGTGGGAAGATGGGAATATTCCCCAGCATTTAAACTCTCATGAACGGCTGTAGGAGCTTCACTGACTGAAGGAGTGAATTGTGGTCGTTATTGCTCATTTAGCAGATGATCATCACACTTACAATCACTCGAGATTATTCAGGTGTAAATGTTTTGCTCAAATAGTCGTTTAGAAACAATTCCATGATTATGGAATTTACACTTTGGGCTCAATATCAAGCCTCATTTAGACTTTGTCCCTCATGTTCCATGCATTGTATTTTTCATTTCGTCTTTAATTGTGGCTTTCATTTTGCCTTCTTTCTGTAAATATTGTTTATACATAATTTTTCTTTTATTACTGAAGGGGTATCCCAGCAAACACGACCATTGAATGTTGACACAACATACCAAACCTTCTAACAAAGTAAAAAATAACAGGTTGCTTTAAAGCTGTAGTATACGATGTTGAAAATCGGTCGAGAAAGCCTGAAACAGGAGGGAAGTTTTAAAAAACTCATCCCGCCTCTCTCCACACACACACCCCTCCCCTCTGCTACCTGATCCCTCCCGGGAAACGAATTGAACAACGTCACTCAGTCAAGTTGTGATCATCATACTTTCACAACATTGCTTAGTCGCTTCAATCAAATGACATTGCTAATGACACATCATATGTAAAATTGCCTTTAGACACTTGAACTTAGTTGCTTCATCAACAATTCAATGACACATTTGAGATCACGCCAACGCAAGATTAGCAACACATGAAATGTTCTACACTACCCACCACCATAAGTATGATATTAGTAGTATTGCGAAGGTTTTGAGTAATTGTTATAGCAGCATACAGCGCATCTTGTTTTAAATTCCGATCGGCTCGAACAGAAACCCGCTAGGCATACTGAAATATAATCAAGCACTTCAAGAAATATATTTACTTTGACCCGTGATAGGCGATGCTAAACAGCTAACATTCCAATGCCGACCGGCAGCATTAGCAAGTTGTCAGACTGATAAAAAGCTAAATTTTAAGTAACACGTCACGCGACTCACGCCATATAAGAGTATAATTAAATGTTTAACGTTACCTGCTCAACAAAAAGTCAGCAGTGTCAGCATCGGTATTCAGTCCCAGATCTCGCTGAAGCTTTCTCCATCGGTCAATGGTGGACCCTATATTCTCCTCAAATTTCGGCATTCTTCACATTTTCTTGTAGGAGTAAGCAGGGGACGCTTGCTGTTGTCTTTTTTGTTTTTATCTATTGCTGATATGCTACCATATGCGGTCAGCTGCTAACGCGCGCGATTCTCATGACGCAGAAGGGGGGCGCGGTCGGGTGTGGTGGGGTGGAGACGCAGCAGTTGACCAATGTAGCTTTGCGTCCGCAAAGCTTTCATTGGTCAACTTTTATGCGGCTGTACAGCCAATAGAGTGAATGGATTTTTTTGTTCTTTTTTCTATTCATATTGTTAGGATTGTACTATATAACCATAACCAGCATATAAATGATGATATTAATAATGAACAATCTTTGAGATCGTATACCCTAGCTTTAAAAGGCACTTATTATGGAAAATTCACTTTTACATGGTGTTTGAACATAAACATGTGTTGGCAGTGTATGAGCAAAACCACCCTAGAATGATAAAAATCCACCCAGTGTTTTTTTTTTACAATCTCAATAAATCATATGCACTGTTTCAGAACGAGCTGTTCTAAGATTCAGCGCTTTGTGACGTAGAATTGAGCAAAGGGTTTGATTGACAGTGTGGTTGTGGCGTAGACCCTGCCCTCGGTGATCCTCCATTGTTTCAACGACAGTCTGTCTCTTGGAAACATAAATGTTCTGTCGTGGGTTAATCCCGTTGTTGTGGCATAAAAGTTAATCCTCAAATGTGGATCGTCGTCTACTGTTTGTGATCCACCGACACCTCCAGTAACAGTAAGTGTATTTTATGAATTTTGAGCAAATAGTCTTTTCAGTCGATGTCAAATGCATCTAAAGTTGTTGTCTTAACAAAAAAACTCAAAAAACTCCAAAAAACAACAAGAAAAATCAGATTCATTAGCAGGGTGAAGGCTACAGTCCCGAGTTTACCTCTCTCATTTGTTACTGGGGCGATAAAGCGCGTTCATGACAAAACAATACAATACGCAGTGCAGCAGCCAGCAGACCTAGAGCATGCTATCTTGCATGCACATTGGCTGCCCTGCGGCAACGGCTGCTGCCTACCACTGAGCCTCGTATGTGACGTCATGCCCTCTACGCGTCACACCCCGCCAAAAGGGGGGTGGCTTAGCATATAAAAGTCAGGCTCGGGAGCTGCATCACTGGTTTCATCAGCTGAAGCGAAAACCGCTCTTGGTGCTTGCACGGTCGGGTTACGCAATACTCGTTCCCTCTTCTAGAGAGAACTGAGGTTACGTATGTAACCGGGTACGTATGTAACCGAGTACGTAACATAAGTTGCTTACACTATGGGAACCCATTGCCAATGCCGTGCATGCCCAGCATCCACTTCATGAGTCCCAAGGATTCCCGGAGAACATTGATAAGTCGGAAACGGGGCCAGCAATGCAGAGCGGCGTTGCCGGTCCATATTCACCATACGGTGCGGCTCAACCAGGAGAGCTAATATCAGTGTTTGGGGTTTTTAGCCCCCAACGGCGCCTTCTAGGCAGCGAGAAGATGGGTAGGTTTAGGGATGAGGTTATGGTTAGCTGCCTGGAAGGAGACATTGGGGGCTAAAAACACCATTGAGTGCTAAAATCATGTGAGAGTAGTCTGAAAATGATAAATCTGGGCAGGACATACACGCCTCTCATACTGAAAGAAGTTTAGCCTGCAAGGCGGGAACTTCCAGGTTATAAAAACCAAACAAAAGTGAACGGATGGGCTTAGCCTGCCGCCTCACAAATGAATTGAATGGAAATGAATGGAGACCCTTGGTGCACCCACCAAATGAAACAAACGCCTAAACGCCTGAAAGGGGCATAGCGCCTAATGTAAGCCCTCAGCGCCTTGATAGGGTAGAGGAGATTAAAATCGTCCTCACTATCGGATGCTGGCAGAGCCGAGAAAGAAATGGCCTGCGCTCTAAGGGAGTGCCCAACACTTTAGGGACATAACCATGCCTTGGCTTGAGGATGACTTTGGAGTCCAGTGCCACTGCTAGCCATTTTGGTGTCCTAAGCATAATTCCTTTATGATGCCCCCTCCCCCCTTCCTCCTACCTAAAAAAACATTTTCATTTAGGATTTTCATTTAGGGGGTATGATTCATAAAAAAAAAGTAAAAATTAAAAAGTAACACTTTAGTTTATGGTCTAATGCTTACTATTAACTAGTTTCATTACCTGGTTGGTTTCATGGTTCTATAATCACTATAGTCCCGAATTTGAGGCAGGTTGGTTAGCGGGGTTCGGGGTTTCCCCGAGAAAATTTTGGATTTCTCTGAACTACAGATGTACATTTTAAGATGTTGTGAAGGCAAAAAAAAAAAAAAAAAAATGATAACAACAGCTTTAAAACCATGTCAGTGGGCAGCTGATTATTTTTCTCCCCTCATCAGCATCACACTCTTTTTCTCTTTGTTTTTATCTTGCCCTGTCTCTTCCCCTCCTAAAGTTGGCTTTTTTAATTTACTAAAGGCTACAATTTCGATTTTATTCTCAATATGTACACATTCATTATTAATCCTGTGCCTAACATGATGAAAACGGCTTTGTTCATGTTTCTTGTCCCCTCACAATGACAGTAGCTTAAACTATTACACTAGTCTACATGTTACATAGGCCTATTTTCAGTTCAAAATGGCGATATTAACTATATTAGTTTGCCTGATTATTTTGTCATTCGTTTAACATTTATGGCCTAAAAAAACAGTCCAATATATAAAGTTAAGTTTAGCTACTTACATCTTATCTTGCACTTGACCGTACAGTGAGGCGTCGAGTTGCACTGTTAAAATTCGCGCTCAGCGTCTGTGAACATAAAGCCCGCCTACTTTGATTTGATTGGTCATCTCAAATATTCTGACATTGACGAGCGGTGACAGACCAATGAGGCTCAGAACACACACACAGATGACAGGTCCTCTGTTTCTGACGTGCTCTCTGCTCGGCGCCGCTGCAGATTGAAGATGAAGAACGCGCTGAATCTGATTATAACAAGAAGTTTGATGATTGATTTTTCATTGGGATATTTTTGTTGCCCCCTCAGCACTTGGTGCCCTACGCACAGTGCGTGATGCGCGTGGTGGGAGTGGCGGCACTGTTGAAGTTATTTGGCCCAAACTCAAGAAACGCTTTCAGGAGCTCTAGGACCAATGAAAGATCCCACATGGGAACTCAACTGACTGACTGACCGTACGTTGACTCAGTGAACGCTGCAACGGCCGCCACATATCATTTTAAGCGTGGATGGGGACCTGCCCTTATCCAGCAGCTCTTAAAGGAAGCCAAACAACCACAGGACCCCACATATTCGTTGGTCTAGATCTCTATCTCTATCTAGAACTCATTTGGAGAACACAGACCATTTATTGGGCATGGATTCATCACTCCTTCTGGCAGGACAATAGGCCTCTATCACAGTGCTCGTGTCGTCACTTCCAGTGGCGCATAGTAGTGTAAAGTGACTTCCGGTTTAGTCTGTTGCAATGGCGGCGAGCACAGCGAGGAATTGCTGTTGCGTTCCTAAATGTTCTAATAGTTCTACTAAACAGCCGTATCTGTTTCCATTCTTTTCCAACTGACGAAAAAGCGACGAAATTGTGGATTCATGCTATTCGGCGGGATGAAGGCAAAAGTTTTGCAGTTTTAAAAGGGAGTACGTACGTATGTGGGAAACACTTCACAGAATCTGACTACTCGTCAACAGCCGATCGTAAACGCTTGAAACGTGAAGTTATACCATCCAGGTTCGAATGGAACAACTGGGGGAGTGTTCTCCAGAAACGATCCAATGTGTTAGATAAGGTAACGTTAAAGCTTCAACATTGCAGTGAACCAGAGATCAGTGACGAACAGCCTGTAGTCTCTTATGGTCCCGTCGCACCCACAGACCATGACTACTCAACACCTGCGTGTCCAGGTCTTTTGGATGCTGCAGCAGAGAGAATTAGAGAGCTGGAGGCTGAAGTGCGAGCTTTGACTGTCTCTCACATTCAAATAAACAGATTTTGTCTCTCGGATGACGACTTCCGATTTTACACGCGATTACCCTCAGAGAAGACTTTCAGGATTTTCTGGGCATCAATAGAACCATCAGCATCAACTCTCCTCTGACATGACATACCTCACGGAATCTACTCGATGTAATGCGTGGTGTACGCATTTGGTTCCATAGAGCAGACTGTGACTGATCCTGTGTGTCTTTTTCAATTATTGTGCTTAATTCTTGAGTGACTGCTAAGCTTTCTAAGAACAACATATCATGGAAATCCGGGACAAATTGAAATCTTCCTTCAAATTTGTGCCCATCCAGAGGAAGCTTAGGGAAAGGAGGGGCTTCTGCATGTCTGACAGCATCCCTTGATGACTGAGCAGGGCACTTATAGGACAGCAAAGAACCTTTGGGTACCAGGCCAAACTTAGACTCCACAAGATTCATCTCTGACATGCAGAACCTTGCAGATAAGTGGCTGAGGCCTGACACTTTTTAAAGGGGTCATGAACTGGCTTTTTAAATGTTATTATATTGTTGTCTGAGGTCAACTTATAACGTTCGCTTGGTTTTTGCATTCAAAAACATCAAAATGAACAAGTAATAGGCTATTTTGTACCCTGGTTGTGAGCCTACCTAAAAAACAGTCGGTTTTTATGGGCGTGTCGCACTGAAGACTTGGAAGTAAACACCCACTGCTGCGAGTGGAGAACAGTTTTGCATATTATAATGAGTTTAACTCACCCGTCGGTGTACGTGGGGGAAAACGTCCTATGTTGTCAAATGGCAACCGAACCGTGTTTTATCCTCTTTGTCGTCATAGTTCCCCACTTTTAAAAACGAGTCGTTTTTAGAGGCTGTGTCAATAAAAGCTTTTATTGGACTAATAAGGACGTTTTCAGTTCTGAAACTTACAGGATATTCTTATAATATGATGACCTCTTAGATGTCAAAAGCTCAAGGAAAATTTGATTTCTCAGTTCATCACCCCTTTAAAGACTCCACAGAAGAGAGCACCGAATTATTGGGAATAGGACCTAAAAAAAGCAACAACAAAAAAAAAAATTAAATAATACTTTTAAAAGCACTTAAATTTGTACATATTTTTGCTAGACATCAAATATAAATGTAATCACCTGTGTAGGCCCTGTAAAGAGTGGACTTAATACCAGAGGTTTTTGGCTTCCTCACAAGTAATCGATCCACTGCTTCAGGATGGATTCCCTGTAAAAAAGTCAAAAATTATGCAAATTATGTTTCTGCTATCAGAAAGTCAAAACTGTTTTGTTAATGTCCTTGGAGCAAAACACATCCCAGATAGCAAACTGACATTGAATCAACGTGGAAATATGACATTGAAACAACGTTGATCTGACATAGTTTTGCTCATCGAATTAACGTTGAACCAACGTCAGACGCGTCATTCTTTCAAAACTAACGGAAAATCAACTTGAAATCAACGCGTTGTTTCAACGTTATGAAAGCAAACCAATTTTCGATTTTCATTTAGCTTTGAAGAATGCCGTGTCTGACGTTGGTTCAACGTTAATTCGATGAGCAAAATCAACGTTGTTTCAATGTCATGAGAGACGTCGTTTCCATGTTGATTCAATGTCAGTTTGCTGTCTGGGTAGGCCTATCTTGCATTAAAAAAGGGGCTTGTGTGCTTTTTTCTTTTGATCTCTTCTCCAGTGTTTGCCAGGGAGACCACTGTATTTTTTTCTTATAGAGTTTGTTTAAATAGGTATAGTCAGTTTTATTTTATTTTTTATTATTATTATTTATTGTTTTGGCCTAGCCAAACCCTGAAGACTTTATAAAGAAAAAGAAAGTAACTGTTAAAACATTTTATTTGTTACTTTTAAATCTTTAAATCCCTATCTCTCACATTTTTATTAATAATAGGCCTACTTGTACCATCTAATTTGAAAATGAAGTCAAGATTTTTTAGGCCTATATAAAGATAAACAACATCAGTAACAACAGAGTCCAGAGGGTATAATCTCAAAATGTGAAAGTGAACAGCTTTGTCACCTATAAGATGTTATTTCTAAATCAATACTTAATTATTCCAAATCAAACATGTTTGGAAGATTATATATCATCAGCCAAGATAACATTGTCGTGTTTGTTTCTAAATGGGACCGTTGAAGAGTTTAATATGATTTCCACCACTAGAGGCGCTCAAGCAACCGAAGCAATGACACACATCTGAGTCGAGAAGAAGAGAAGTGAGCGAGGGAAGGGAACATAAACATGAGAAGTGGAACACAGCCGTTCATTCTGCTCAAAATCTGCTGTTTTTCAGACTGTGAGTAAATTAATTATATATATATATATATATATATATATATATATATATATATATATATATATATAGGAGAAATCTAAAAGAGAAATTTAGAGAAATCTAAATCCAAACGACTAAACGAGTCAGTTCAATAGTGAATCACTCAGAAATAACAAAAATCGGACTGATGTTGTTCATTACGCTCCTGAAACTTAAACTCATTACTGACTGTTTTTTCCACAGAATAATTTGTCAAGATTATGATTTGTGTTTTCATTTTATATAATGAACCAAGGTAAATAGTTTGAATGCATGTAAATCATATCTTACGTTAAGAGCAACACAAATCAAAACACTTAAAGCTGGATAATCTCGAGTGATTGTAAGTGTGATGATCATCTGCTAAATGAGCAACAACGACCCCAATTCACTCCTTCAGTCAGTGAAGCTCCCACAGCCGTTCACGAGAGTTTAAATGCTGGGGAATATTCCCATCTTCCCACAGGAGAAGAAGAAGCAAGAAGGGGGAATTACTCCAGGAGAAACTACGGACATACTATTGTAAAGATGGAGATTAAGGAAGAACCCTGCAGAATAAAAGTTGAAGATACAGAGGAACAAATAGGTTGGTGTTTTCCTTCATTCTCTTTAATGACTGATGAGGAACATTAAGATGAAAACTCACTTTGAGATCCAGGCATAGACTTTTCCTCTGTAGAGAACATTACATTTCATTGAACTTCTTTGAGAACATGCATTGCATGTTAATTGTCACTGCACACCTTGCACTTAATCTTAATATTTTCTTTTTCATGATAGAAAGTGTTTACAGTCATCTAAAAATAACACTGCATTATTAATATCAGCAATGATATTGAACAAGAAATAACCTATCTAAAGTGAATATTACTGTCTCAAGTAACCCAATAACAATCAGTAATGTCGGGCATTGCATTTTAGTTGAAACTGAAGGGTGAATGAAAGCTGGTAGTGCTTTGCGAGCTGGTTAATAAACTAAACCAAATGCGCCCTATCCCTGAAAACATTTGGAGGTTTAATTCCCATTGAAAAGACGTCCGTCCGATCGATACGTCTCGTCATGGTTGAAAAATGGTTCCAAAATGAAAGATGAATGGACATCATCTGCCCATGAATTCCACATCTCTTCGTCTAAATGCATCTGTGTGTTTAAATGTGTTGCTGCATAATTTAAGTGTATATAAACCTGCATACAAAATAATCACACACCTATTGTGTAACATTGTGAAAAGCAATCATTTCTCAAGGTTTACATATATTGGTTCATATATTGGGACAAAGGTTCAAAACAGGTCCAAAATTGGTCCCGTCAGACCTGAACGTCAATAAAACGTTTTAATCATGTTGTGCATCACAAACAAGAACACATTAAGCAAAAAAGAAGCATGTTGTGATTTAGCACAACATTTTATTGATCTTGAACTGCCAAAATGTCTCAAACATTTGTTAACCAAACTAAAATACCAATTTCAAAATACTGGATGATTATATAAAGGGATAGTTCACCCAAAAATGAAAGTTCTGTCATTTACTCAACCTCATGTACCAAACCTGTTTGAGTTTCTTTCTTCAGCTGAACACAAAAGAAGATATTTTGAAGAATGTTTGTAACCAAGCAAATAGAGAAACCATTGACCACCATTACTGGAGAAAAGGTTGAAATAATGACTAAAATGCAGTTGCTTTGCTATCACTTAACCACATGGGCACTAAGTGATTATAATTTATTTAAACTAAATAAAGTAAATATATTGACTCTGTATATCATGTATTTCATAAAGATAGTTCCTGTTCTTGCTTGACTAGTAGACATGTAAAAGACATCAGTGGACGTCTTCACAACCTCTA